TATAATATTTATATATTTATTATTGCATTATTTTTAATTATTTTGGGGGGAGGAGGTAATAAGGTTTATTTATTTTCAGAGGAGGTACTGGGCATCGAACCCAGGCCTTGTGCATGCTAAGCACATGCTCTTCCACTGAGCTATACCGTCCCCCCTATTGTTTTGAATTGATGTTAGCTATTTCTCTTTCGCACTTTCACCTCCATTCACCTGTGCAGAATTGCCAGCTCTCCACGGATAGGGGCTGTTTTTCTCTTTTCTCTGGAGTTTATGGCATAGTGAGTCCAGCAGTCCAATAATTAACTGGATTTCCGAGGCACCAGATATTGTTACCTAATGTCTGACCTAAAAGGAGGAGGAGGAGGTCCTCTTAGACCCGTGTGAGTTTGCGTGGGCGGCGGCACAGAACACCGCGGGCTGGGTGCTGAGGCAGCAGATGCTGATTTTTCACACTCGTGGAGGCTGGAGCTCAAGACGGAGGGGTCAGCAGAGCTGGTTTCTCCTGAGGCCTGTCTCTGGCTTGCAGGCGGCCGCCCTCTTGCTGTGACCTCACGTGGTCTTCGCTCTGCACTGTCCCTGGGTTCTTCCTCCTCTTACAAGGACACGCATCAGATTGGATTAGAGCCCTACCATACGACTTCATTTGACTTGTAATCACCTCTTTTAAGGCCCCGTCTCCAAACGCAGTCACGTTCCGGGTACCGGGGGTTAGAGCTCTGATGCAGGCGTGTGGAGGGCACGGGCACTGGCTGAGCAGGAGCCTGGTTTTGTCCTTCCAGGGCTTGGTGACATTTGGGGATGTGGCCGTGGACTTCTCCCAGGAGGAGTGGGAGTGGCTGGACTGCGCTCAGAGGACCCTGTACAGGAGTGTGATGCTGGAGAACTACAGGAGCCTGGTCTCGCTGGGTAAGGGCCCCTCACGCCGCATCACCGTGCCCTGCACCCACCCGCTCCTCCCCCTCCAGACAAGGACAGGCGCCCAGCACCACCATGCCCCGTTTCTTCTTACATATGTAGGACTTTGCGTTTCTAAGCCCGAGATGATCTCGTCACTGGAACAGAGGAAAGAGCCGTGGACGGTGAAGAGAAAGTGGACGCGAGGCCAGTGCCCAGGTGAGCGTGGGAGACCTTGGGGTGAGGCCGCGGCAGTCACAGCTCTGCTCCCGCAGACACATGGGACCATCAGCAGATTCCTCCTGAGCCTCCCGGCCGGGGGAAATCGAAGGCTCACGAGCACCAGCTTCCCGAGTTTTCCTTCTCCTCCATCCCTTCTCCCCATCTCTGCTCCCCTCCCTCCAAACATAACCCCCCGGCCTCTACTCTGGGCCATATCTTCGCGCCTCTGCGGACTCTTGGATCATCTGTGTTCTTTCAAAGTCTTTGGCTGATTCTGATGTAGTATTTCCTGCCTTATTGCTCTTTGATTGAATGACTTCTGTTCATGGACTTCTTTTAACTGACTCCTACCGAGTGTCAGCTTTGCGTGAGGCCATCAGGTGCTGGCTGGGAAGGTGAGTGTAAGCCACTGAAGAACTAAGCAGCCCACAGGGGAGCTGAGACGTCCTGCACATACAGTCCTACGAGTGATGGGTGATGACGGGGGTTTGAGAGGCAGAAGAAGATCATCCCTGGTTTCAGGCCAGGGAGACAAGAAGCGAGAGTGGAGCCTTGAGCAGAAGCCTGGCAGTGAGAAGGCAGAGGCTGGTAGGCGAGGGGACCGTCTGTGCCGGGGCCGCCATCCACCCGGGGTGCAGTGGACCGCCCTGTGCAGACGGGCTGCGCGCAGGTGGGCGGTGCCTCCCGAGGGGGGAGCACCGTCCTGGTTGGTGGGGTGTCCTTGCACGTGTTGTGACGGTGCTTACAACACGTGGGGCACAGGGATTCCAACCACAGCGTTGCCTCTGGCACAGCAGGTGAGTCAAGCCAGGCGAGGGCTCGGAGCTGCAGGCCCCTTTGGAGGCCGCCGTCGTAGGAGTGGCTGCAGTTTGTAAACAAGTGTGCCTCTTGGGAGGGTTCCAGTCACACTTCGGAGGGAAAGTCTGTACTGACCAGTCAGTCATAAGCTGCGGTGACGCGTGGGCCGTCGCGCGGCCCAGGAGAACGGGAGTGGCATCTGGGGGACGTTCTCCCCTTGCCGTCGTGCTGAGTTGCCTTCGCTGAGCTGGCTTTCTGGGAGGAGACTGCTTTTCCCTTCTGCTGATCCTTCCTCTCTTGCTGAGACCCGAGTTGATTTTGAAGACGTGCCCTTTTAAGGCCAGGATCTTAACATGGACTAGTTAGCACTGTAATGAAAACGGAGACGTTATTTAAGGGAAAAAAAAAGCTGAAGTTTTCACTAAATAAAATGGAGCAAGAGTCAAAGCGAGACTTACTCGTATCAGGGTGGTGTCGCGTTTCCTGCTTGGCCGCCACCCCCTTGGTCTATGTTGGCCACGTTTCCTCAGATTTAAATCTTTGCGAGCTGTCTCATCTCTCGCTCTTCAACTTGTCTTCCCAGTCCCCTGCCCAAAGCACAGTGCGTGCTACTTGCTTAACATTTAGGCGAGAAAGCTCAGGTTGTGTCCTTTAAAGCTACACAGATTTGGGGGTGTAAGGCCCTATGGAAACACTTTCCACACAGTGTGCGCCTCTGAGGGGTTTTAATTCACCCGATGACAGTTTTGGTGGTTTTCTTCAAAATAGTACATAACGAAAGACTTTCTTAATGTCTTTCAGACTCAGAGGCTGTGCCGGAGACCAGGGAGTTCTGTGCGGAGAGGAGCCCCGGTGCGGAGAGGCTGGCGGAGACCCTGACGAGCCCTGGGCGCCCCGCGTCGGGGCAGAGCTCCTGGGGACTACGGTGCTCGGTTTGAGGGGCGGCCGGTGAGTCAGGAGGCAGCGGGGGCTGAGACACGCTGGCGGTAACTTGCAGGAGGTGGGCTCTGCAGGACTTCGGTCGGGCGTTTACAGAGGCAGAGGCGGGGAGTCCCGGTAGCCTCCTTGTTTCAGTGGGACAGGGTGAACAGACACAGCGTCCCTCGTCAAGAAACCCCTCTGTGGGAGAGAGACGGCGTTGCGGTGGCTGGTCCTGTGTGAACACGGGGCTCCCTGTAGGTAGAGCAGCCCCAGAAGAGAGAGAACACCCAGTCCCCACACACGAGGGAAGTGGGGCAGTGAGACAGAAATTGGTCTGTTTAAACCAGAAGCATTCAGTGTGGAATGAATGAGAAAACTGAGCGGGATCCCAGCCCTTCCTTTGCATCAGGGTTTCACCTGAGGGAAAACTGTGCAGACCTAGTTGGATAATGTGTGTTGACTGGGGGAGGCCTTCGCCGAGCTTCAGAAAATCCACACTGTGTGTAAATTCATTCTCGTCCACGGAGTTACAGCTTCTCCGTGGCAGAAGCAGTCTGCCCTGTTTTTCTTTCTTTTTTTCCACCCAAACATCCACGAAGTCGCTAGCTCAGTCGTTACGTGACCTGGATCACGCAGAGCCTAGTGGGGATTCTCGGTACAGAGCACCTCTCACGGCCAAGGCCCGGGCCGCCCTCCACAGCCGCCGTGGGTTCACCAGCGCGGCTGGAGACAGGCGGGCTTGCGCTGTTTCAGGGCTTGGCGACCATCGTGGACGCGGCCGCAGACGTCTCCCGGCAGCCAGACCCAGCCCAGACAAGTCTCTGTGAGGATGTGATGAGGGAGGACCACGGTCTGGGGCGCGCAGGTAAGGGTGCTCCTCTCCCGAGCCTGACCCGTCAGGGCCCCGATTCCGGGCCTCGGCGCCGAGTCATGTGTGTGTCGGGAGGGGTGTCTTCTGAAGGGCTGGGCTGGATCTACCTCCGATTCTTAGACAGTTTGACTCTTGGGGGTTGAAAGTGTCTTCATCATACTTGAAGCATCCTCTTCAGCATCTTTCAGGTACTCCTCGCTTTTCTCTCTGCTTTTCCCTGTAACAAAACACTTTTCCATCCAAGCCAAGGAGCTGGCTGGCTGCTTAAGAACCGAGCCCCGTGTCTCTTCCCACACGCAGGACGTGGTGTGTCTCAGCCTGGTCTGGCCTCTTTGCTGGCGACCGGGAAGGAGCCCTGCAGGGCAAAGAGAGAGCTGGCCAGAGGCCTGTCCCCAGGTGAGCCCGGGGGGCCGGGTGGAAGCGCCTCTGCGGCTCAGAGTGTAGCTTCCGCCAGAGGCCGAGTGCTGGCTGACGTGCAGAAGGCCGCACCTTGGCCTTGGGTCTGGAGACAAGACCGAGGTCCAGGTTTGCAACATGATGCTCTTTCCTCCTCCTCCTCCTCCGCCTCCTCTTGGGTGGTGACTCCTCCCCGTGGCGTTGCTCCTGTCCTTGGCCACTCGCACGTGGATCGGCCCCTTGGCTCCCCGGGTAGCCTCTTCCTGACCCTGCTGTGCTTCTGCACTGTCCTCCGAAGGTGTGTGGCCTTCGTGATCAGGTGGCTGCCCGCTTCCTGAGGCATCCATTCCAGAAGGAATCACGAACTGAAATTATCTGCAGGCGCCCCCGCTTGGCCCGGGCAGGCGGTCGGAGGGAGGGGCAGTTCACACCTCTGTCGTAAACCACCGAACAACCGCTGAGATGTGTGCGTGGATGAGTTGCGTGAGTGGAGCTGGTGAAGTTTCCAGCAGGGCATTGCAGAGGCAACGGAGAGGGTCCCCTGGGGGCCATGTTCTGGTCGGTGAGGGCGGGCGGGTGTCGGACTGCAGCAGGCCTGAGGGGAGGCTCTCTTCCTCTTTTGATACCCAGGGAAGGAGGAGAAACTTCTTTTGAAAATAATGGTTCGTAGACAGTGTGATCTTGTCACCTGTCTGGGAGGAGAGCACGGAATCGTGACCCTAATCACAGCACGTTGATGCGGCGGCGTGTGCCCCTTCAGGCCCCTGTGAACACGGCGTTTTCCCAGAGTAGGAATGAGAGAGTGCGCTGGGCCCCACGTCCCGACGTTTCCACGTGCTCGCCGTGCTCTGCGCCTGCTGCTGTTGGGTCGCCGCACGTTTCCCGGCATCGCAGACGTCCTCCGCGTAGGCGCCTGCTGCATCCCTGGGTGTGAACGTCTGCCAGGCTCTGGGAGTTTTGTCCTTTGCGTGACTCCGGCAGCGACCGGATGACTACGTGTGGGTTTAATTGCATCATCACAGCCTTGAGTATTTGGGGGAAATGTTGTGCTTTTTATTTGGTGAAAGGTTACAGCCTAAGGTTATTTATTTGTTTAATTATGAAAGAGGTTAACTGCTTGCCCTAGATTTTGTTACTCTCTTCATCCTTTTGTAAAATGTCCCTCATTATATCCGTTTTTCTGTTCGTGCCTTAAATGTCTTAACAGCCCTGGTGATTTTTCTTTTAATATAAACACACTGATTTTCTAATGTATTATCTCCAACTTTTTCACGTATAGTAGTAAGAGTTTTTGTTTCAACTAGTTTTTTAAATTGTGGTATGTAAAATTTTAAAAATTTATATAGTCTAATATATTATTTCTTTTATGATTTTCCATTTGTATCCGTAGAAACTGGACAGAAACTTCGTTTTTTAAGTGGCTGTCTAATATTATAACATACAGAAATACCGTCACTTACGTAACTTTTACTGTTTCGTTGTACTGATTTACTGCTGAGGACATTTGAACACTGAGGTCTTCTCCAGCTTTTACCTGTCATAAACAGTGGCCCAGTTTGTTCATATCTCTCTGCGTGATCAGAGCGTGCATGCTCCTAGCCTTTCACAGCTGTAGTGCTGTGGTAGCGATGGTGAACAACGTATGACAGTCCTGTTTCCAGACGTCTTCACCATAGTGAGTGTTTCTTGTTTTTTTTTAGTGTTTTCCAAGCTGTGGGGTGAAAGTTGAGTCTTGTTTAGTTTTTATTTCACAGACTCCCTGTGGTGGTGAGAAAGCACGTGTACAGATCCGCGTAGGGTTTACGTCCTGTGGGCGGTGTGTCTGCTCCTCCCCGCGTTGCTGCTGGGCCGCGTTTCCTTGCCTTTGCGTGGTAGGCCCGCGCATCTTGTCTTATAAATGTGGTGCACTTTTCCCAGCTCCATGTGCCCTGTGAGTTTGCGCGTGGTGTTTCTCACCATTCGGTGTTTTAAATTGGGTGGTACCTTCATTTATAGAGGCCTTAACTGTGATTTTTGTATTCTTTGTGGTTGTGTTACTGCCATTTGTGCCGCACAACAGCTCTGCTTGGCCTTGCTCGGCCGCCCTCCTTTCTACCCGTGAACACACTGAGTCTGCCCGTCTGTGGCCCCAGGCGGCCTTCCCGCGTGTTTAGGGCTTCTTCATTTCATTAAGCAACATGGTTTTGTAGTTTTCGGTGTATAATCTTGCACCTTTTTAGGCAACTCTGTTCCTAAATAATTTATCCTCTCAGTGCTACTTTTCATGGACTTATTTTCATAATTTCCTTTTCAGATTGTTCATTCCCAGTGTATAGAAGCGCAGCTGGCTTTTGTGTGTTGCTCCTGTATTCTGCGATTTTGATGAACTGATGGTTCGCTGTAGTGCTTGTGGATTCTTTAGGGTTTTCTATATGTGGGATCGTGTTATCTGCAGCTTTACTTCTTTTTAATTTGGATGCATTCTATTTCTGTTTCTGATGGCTCCGGCCAGAACTTCCAGTCCAGTGTTGAATGGAAGCTATGAAAGCAGGCATTCTTGTCTTCTTACTGATCTAAGAAGGAAAGCTTTCAGTGCTCAGATGTCATTTTAAAAAAGACTTTATTTTCCCTTTTTTTAAACCATCTTTTTCCAAACTTCTGACTGCACCATCTCCCCAGTATCACTTTTATCTCTCTCTGTTTGTTGAGATACAACTATTCTTGCGCAGATTTCTGGTACATGCTAAGTGGCCCGTAAGTGTGCAGTCTGAAATAAGACATATACTTGTTCAGTCATGTATACGATGTAATTAAGTGTAGTATCAGCACTCGCTGTTTTTGTAAAACTAGTCTCCTCAGAATGAGAAATTAAATTGCAAGGCCTTCTCCGTTAATAAATGGCCAGAGGAGAAGTGAGGCTCTTGTCAGGCTTGTGGAAGCAGGCAGGTAAATGTGAAAACGGCCTCACGTGACTGCTGAGCTTGGCAATGTAGGTCTTGTCGACATTAATAAAATGAGATACAGCTGACAGAAACACCAGTTCTGGTTGTAGGGGAACGACCGGGCTTTCCAGTCATCCTAATGAATGTTCTGGAACACACCGTCTTTCTGAGCTTGGCACGCTTCTGGGAACAGCTGTTGTGGCGTGGTGACTGCCCGGGCGTGGGAGCAGCGTAGCCCGGCTGAGAGAGGGGAGGGGCTCCGCAGGGCGTGGCCTGTAACTGTTGGAGGAGCGACTGCAGAGCGTTTCTCCCACCCCTTACTCTGCTGACGTGGAACTGATTCCACCTATATTTAACCTTTTTTCTATTCCCCCACCCTAGGTTCCTGTCTAAATGTTTGTTTCTTGTTTATTTTCATGATGTCTTTCAGGCCAGCGACCTATACATGAGACCCAGGAATTACTTCCAAAGCAGGATTCCTTTGCTGAAGTGGCAACAGACAGAACTTCAGACACTGACCTGGAGTGTTCTGCTTTCAGAGGAAACTGGGATTCTGAGGGTCTGTTTGAAAGGAAGCTGACAGGTCCTGAGACACAATTCAGGCGAGAGGCAGTCACTCATAGCAGAACCCTCTCTAAGGAAAGAGAGTGTACGTATAACAGATCTGCGAGGTGGTTCCCTTTGGACGTTTCAGAAGAGAGAGTTCACAGTCAGGATGCAGTTAAGAAAACGTTCCCCCAGAGTTCAGTGGTAATAAAACATGCAGGAATCTATGCAGGAAAAAAACTTTTCAAGTGTAATGAATGTAAGAAAACTTTTACCCAGAGCTCGTCCCTCACCGTTCATCAGAGAATTCACACTGGGGAGAAGCCCTATAAATGTGAGGAATGTGGCAAGGCCTTCAGTGATGGCTCGTCCTTTGCCCGACATCAGAAATGTCACACCGGCAAGAAGCCCTACGAGTGTCTCGACTGCGGGAAAGCCTTCATCCAGAAGACGTCCCTCGTCCGCCACTGGAGGTACTACCACACCGGGGAGAAGCCCTTTGACTGCATCGACTGCGGGAAAGCCTTCAGCGATCACATCGGGCTTAATCAGCACCGGAGAATTCACACTGGAGAGAAGCCGTACAAGTGCGACGTGTGTGACAAGTCCTTTCGGTACGGCTCCTCCCTGACTGTCCACCAGAGGATTCACACTGGAGAAAACCATACGAATGCGACGTCTGTAGGAAAGCCTTCAGCCCACCACGCCTTCCCTCACTCAGCATCAGAGG